ATATATATGTATGTCTGTGTCTGCATGCTGTGCCTGTATATTCCTGTCTGTATACGTCTGGTTCTGCTTGTCAATGTCTGTACCTCTGTGTCTGCATGTTGTGTCTGTATATTCCTGTCTGTATACGTATGTGTTTGTACATGTATTATCCTGTCTGGTCTTTCTGTGTCTATATGTTCCTGTCTGTATGTCTGTGTCTGAATGTCTGTGTCTGTATGTCCCTGTCTGTATGCCTGTGTCTGATTGTCTGTGTCTGTATGTCCGTGTCTGTATGCTCCTGTCTGTATGTCTGAGTCTGTATGATCTAGTCTGTATTTCTGTCTGTATGTCCCTGTCTGTATGTCCCTGTCTGTATGTCCCTGTCTGTATGTCCCAGTCTGTATGTCTGTGTCTCTATGTCTGTGTCTGAATGCCTATGTTTGTATGTCTGTGTCTGTATGTCTGTCTCTGTATGTCTGTGTCTGTAGGTCCCCGTCATGTATTTGATTGACTGTGTCCACGTTTGTTAGTCTGAGGAAGTGATATTTGTGTCTGCATTTTTATATCTGCGCTTTCTGTTAGTTTCTATGTTGTTCTTCCATACAATGTGTCTGCACTACTGTGTCCATATAAATGGGTGATGTTATTTTTTTTTAATTATTACTTTTTCGGGGGGGGGGGGGGTAAACATTATAATTTTCGATAGAGTGCATTTTAGTTATATTGATTCCAAATGTCAATGCTTTTAAATAGTGTTTTTTGTTATACACACTGTTGTATTCGCGGCATGAGAAAAGTGGTTTGCACCAGAGCGCTAGGCCTACTAACGAAAATTCATATTATGTTAGGTTGGGTTTTTTTCGTCTTTGTCGTTTGGCTTGTTTGAAATTATGGCTCATTTACAGTATTCGTTTTCCCAATTTGGGCACGATCGAGCCGCATCTGAAACAACGATAAGCGAAACATAATGAACATTTCTGTGCATGTTGCGTTGCGCGTTTATTAAGTCGGGAGCTTTACCGAAGGCTACAACAGTTATGGGTTGGGCCATGAAGGACAGTTCAGGCCTACCTTGTATTACCAACCTATTGTTCAGAAGTGACAAAGTAGCATCGTATTACACGGACAATTAGAATACAGATTATGTATCTAGCTTTTAAAATTGATTTTTTTAAAAACCCAGCTATATTATTGTTAATTTCCTATTCGTGCGATTGCGGGTCCGTCTGTGAGAGTAATGCTCACATTGTCATACCAGTTGGCGCGTGTCTTCAGCACGACAGCTCGGAGCCTTGAGCTTAGTAGATCATTGTAGGCCTACCCTATTGTTTTTGACCGGGACTACAGTCGCGACTAGTGGACGACAGTCTTGCACATACTCCCCGAGGCGGTGCCACTGACTGAGGTGTCTTTAGGCCATTCCCAAAGGGGTGACATTTCTCGTTCTAAAGCACAGTAGAATTGTAAATGGGCTGGTCCAACAATGGCAAGCTCATAACTGTGCCTGAACTACAACAGGGAACTGTTGCTTTTTCTTTCCCAATCCTTACTATCGTCATTTTCTTCTACTTCTTCTGTATGTTTGTCACACTCTTGAAACCCACTATTTCCGGGGTGCCTTGATAGTCGAAGCAGACTTTGTGCTGTTGAAGCTAGAGAGGTGAGCAGAGAAAGCCTGATTCCCTGTAAGGGTTTTTCTGTTGACATTCACCTTTCAACGCTCATATGACCTTATGCAGTTGCGAGCGCCGTAAAACCTCTACTTAAACTAACTCGAAAAATCTTGCACAGCTACATCTTTAAAATGTTATAAAAACATAAATGTGTCACGGCGCGGTGGAATCAGGCGCTC